GTGATGCTCATTGGACTGTTTCCCTGCCCTTTCAGACCACGGAGCTGCTCATTGGGGGACTTTTTGGCTCTGCCCACGTGACCCAGCCAATCGGCCTCAAGAGCAGGAGGATTGTGGGAGGTGGAGAGAAGCTTGTGGGAGGAGAGAGAGGCTTGTGAAAAGCCGATGGTGGCAGTTGGGCTCTGAGGGTTTTCCTGAAGAGCTGTGTGGTGCAGTGTGTGTGTGTTCTAAAAATAAAGTTAGTTTCTTTTGACAAGTGGCTTCTGATTGTGCCCAGCCAGACTGCGGCAGTTTGTCCCCTTTGCAACTTCTCAGTCATCTGGCTGGGTTGTACAGAGTTCATTTTTTTTTTTTTTTTTTTTTTTTTGCAGCAGTGTCAGGAAAATACACTCAGGTGATGACCAGTCAGCAGGTCACACAAAGACAATGAAAATCCTAAGGTGGGGAGAGATTTTGGAGATGCTGGCAAGGAAGTCAGGGGCCAGGCTGGACAGGTGACTCTCAGAGAACTCACAGAGTGGGAAGATCTGTAGCACACTAAAGAAGCTGATTAGAGCCAAGGTTGGAGACACTGATGATCTCTTATACCTGCTTGGCCTGCGGGTAAGTGATAAAGGTAGCCTAAAGAGAAAGTCTGGCTCACCACATCCTCTTGGTCATGATCACAGGGCAGAGCTAGCAGCAGATAGTAATTTGTCTCTACCATCACATTTAGGCAATCCCTTCCAGCTGTGAGGCTTCCAGCTACATCTTCTGGGGGATCTCTGATGAAGGGCCTCCTTCAAGAGAAGGGGAAGGACCATTGGGCCAAGACATTGTTGCCAGAGTCAAAGTGAAGCTGCATAGCAGTGGTGTCATTCTTGAGTGCCAGCAGGTCTTGCCACATGATCAGGTGCTTCTTCAGAAATGACCTTATCTGCAGCTCTCTGTGAAGTCAAGTGTGGAGAGGAATCTTGTTTGTGGGTTGGCTGGTGTTGTGTCTAACAGACTTGTTATCTTTATGTCTTTAGTAAATTTTATTTCCTATCTTACTGACTTCCTAGTATCTGACATTTTTGGTGTTGTTGACTCTCTTAACAATGAATTGCTTCCATGAATATTTGCTAATTCTTGGTGTGAAATCATTTTCAGTTTGCTTTTCTTCTTACCTGTTAGATGGTATGGGTTTGATACAAAGTCTAAGCATAAAAATAAGTTTTTCTCCAAGCCTGACCCTTGTTTTGGAGCACAGCACATATTTGCTAACTTGGTTTCCAAAGACCCTGTTTGGTTGGTTCTGGGTTATCCTTTTATTCACTTGCTCATTTATAATTTATCATTATAATGCTTTTGAACATTGTTTGATTAAGAATTCAGAAAATAAGTGTTACTCCAAAGAGGATTTATATTGGCTATGGAAAATGCACCAGGACCAGTTTTGGATGTTCCTGGATAGCCTTGGAAGATTTGACCTCAAACATATATAAAGCACATGCTTGAGGTTTCATATTCTTAGGGAAAACAATTTTTTTTTTCACATAGACTCCCCTTTCATTGCCCTTAGAGCCAGAAAGAACTTTGTCTTCTTACAGTGCTAATACAATTTTCCTCCCTTTTTTTTCTCTCTTCCTTTCTTGCCTGCCTTTTCACTTAGGGTGCAAATATTTTAAGGATTTCAACTTTATGTAGTTTCAACCTTCTCCCCTTTTATTGCCCTTAGAGCCGGAGAGAACTTTCTTGTCTTCTTACAGTGCTAATACACTCCCCCCCCCCCATTTTTTCCCTCTCTTCCTTTCTTGCCTGCCTTTTCACTTAAGGGGCAAATATTTTAAGGATTTCAACTTTATGTAGTTTCAACCTTTGAGGGGCCCAATCTTAAGTGTGAAAATAGAAACCCCCAAGCAAGATTTTAGGACCACAGATCTTTCTGGAGAAGTACTCATTCGCTCTCAAATTCACTGTCATGTTTTCAGTTCCTCCTTCATGTCTAGTACCTGAGGATTTCCTGTCTTTCCGTAATCACAGCTATGTGATTAAAAATATATATTTTTAGTTGTAGTTGGACACAATACCTTTATTTTATTTATTTTCCTGTGGTGCTGAGGATCGAACCCAGAGCCTCACACGTGCTAGGTGAGTGCTCTACCGCTGAGCCACAACCCCAGCCTCCATCTGATTTTTAATGTGCATTATTTTATACCACATTTGTGTTTGTAGTAGGAATAGAAATACTTTTAGTTTGTTATCTTGCCAGACTTAGAAACCTGGTATTAATTTTATAATCTTGAAAAATTTTATCTTAAATATACAAATGTCCATTGTTATGTTTTCCAACAGTGACCGACTAGGTCAAATAATCCCTTGAATGTTTAATAACTGCCCAGCACTTTCTAGAAAGAGCTAATGAGGTAACAAGCCTCTAAATGTGAATTGGCTGAAGGACTGGGCCTGGACACTTTTCTTCTCAACAAATATCTGCTCCACCTTTGTCTTGTGTCCAGGTTCTAATTTTCTCTAAGATCTGATTCTTATTTTGGAGCACAGCACCTACTCGCTAACTTGTTATCCCTTTATTCATTTGCTCATTTATAATTTATCATTACAGTGTTTCTGAATACTGTATGATGAAGAACTCAGAGAAGCTTCCTCCTTCTCTTGGGAACATAAGGCTATACCACGAGAATGACATTTGGTAAATAGCTTTGGCCTGAATTATTCATTCAATACATATTTATTGCTAACCTACTATGTGCCATGCCCTGGTCAACTGCTGAAGGTAAAGGGGACAAGATAGTCATAGTCCATTCCTTCATGCAGATTATGATGAAATCAACCAAAACAGAAATTTATGAGCAGCTAGTATATTCAGCTCCACTTTGGAAAAAAAAAAAAAAAGACAGGGTTCCTGGTTTCTCCTGGAGGCAGTGAAGACACAATATTAAAGTTTAATAAAACAGAGGCTGGGGATGTGGCTCAAGGGGTAGCGCGCTTGCCTGGTGTGTCTGCGGCCCGGGTTCAATCCTCAGCACCACATACAAAGATGTTGTGTCCCCCGAGAACTAAAAAATATTTTAAAATTCTCTCTTAAAAAAAAAAGTAATTAAACAATAAAATATGGGGTTTAGATGCAAGTACCACAGTAGATAGGACAGAGCTCAAGAGATTTGTACACTGAGGAAGAGTTTCTGAGCTGGACCTGTAATGCCAGTGACTCCAGAACCTGACAAAGGAGGACAGCAAGAGGCCAGCCTCAGCAACTTAGGGAGATGTGTTTCCAAATAAAATAAAAAGGACTAGGAATGTAGCTCAGTGGTAAAGTGCCCTGGGTTCAATCCCCAGTTTTTTTAAAAAAAATTTTTCATGAAAGAGGGGGTATATCTAAAGATGGGAAGGACGGGGAAAGGACTTTGGGGACCTCCATGATTAGCCTCCTCTCAAACTCTGTCATGTTTTCAGTTCCTTCTTCATGTCTAGTACCTGAGGATTTCCTGTCTTTCCTGTAATCACAGATATGTGATTTTAAAATATATATATTTTTTAGTTGTACACAATACCTTTATTTTATTTATTTTCCTGTGGTACTGAGGACAGAACTCCATAATTAGCCTCCTCCCAAACATGCAGTTTGTCTGCACTCCTGAAATTATCCTGCTCAAATACTGCCCTAGTCCCAGGCTCTATAGAGGAATGTTCAAGAATTCAGCTTTTACATCTGTGCATGCAGGATCAATCTCTATCTATTATGATCAACTTCATTTTCTGTTTCTTTTTTGGTACCAGGGATTGAAACCAAAGGCGTGTAGGTTGCCTATAGATTCTCTAAGTTGCTGAGGCTGGCTTCGAACCTGGGATCCACCAGCCTCAGCCTCCGAAGCCACTGTGATTAGAGTCATGCAACACCACACAGGGCTCTCATTTTCTTCTTTTCTTAAATATTAATTTTTAGTTATAGGTGGACACAATATCTTTCAAACCCAGTGCCCCACGCATGCTAGGCGAGCGCTCTACCTCTGAGCCACAAACTCAGCCCATTTCTTATAGCCTCCTTTTGTTGTTATTGCTTTTCTTAGTTCTTTAACTAATTCCTTGACTCCAATCATAGCCCCTTTTTGATTTTAGATAATTCTAACTGTTGTGCAAGCACAATCTAATTTTAACCATGTGAAACTTTTTCAATCAACTAAAATATGCAGTTTCTCTGAGAGTTCAGTGGAAAGTCCCCTCCCCACACTGACTCTACGAATGTTATATGAACCTCAACGCTGAATGTTCAGGGTGTGCCAGGAACCCGACTTTGTAACTCCTCTCAAGGACCCAATTTTTGAAGGGTCCCTGTACATCCCATTGGTAAGACCCCTGTAAAAATTCAGCGGCGAGGAGCACAAGAGGCTGACTTCACCCGAGTACAGCCATCTTCGCCGTGAGGTCTGCGGGGAATCGGTGGGGCGTGTTGAAGAGGCCGCCTGGGAAAAGGCCCTTCGGGAGGGCAGGAACCTGGCGGGAGGGGACCAGGGGTCAGCCATCCCACCGACGGCCCAGCAATGGGCGTTTCCTCAGCCCGGCAGAACCGCTGGTCTTCATAGGCTTCTCAGGAGAGCGCGGGAATCCAGGGTCTGTTTGCCTCTTTGGAAAAAGCCACACCAGCCCTCCCTAATTCAATACATCGCCGGTTAATCTGACAGGAAACAGTATCACCTCCCGCGAAAGCCCTCCCGCCGGGGATTTCAAACGGATCCAGAGCCACGCCTCCCCGGAACCGGAAGCATGACAACTAGCGCCCCTTGCTGGTCGACTATTTATAAGGGGCGGGGCTGCAGCGGAAACTGCAACTCCCGGAATGCAGCGCGGAGCTTCCGGTTTCCGGCGAGAGGGCCAGAGTGAGTGTTTACACCGGCGGCTCTGCGGCCGGGTTCCTTCCGCGGGACGGGTGAGGGCGCAGGGGCCCCTGGTCTCGCGGGCTCGACGTGGGTCGGCTAGATAACTGGTCCCACCGGAGAGGTGGGCTAGCCACCAGACAGTGTTCCTACCTCACTGCTAGCTATCTGTGACCTTGGCCCAGGTGACTTCACCTTTCTGAATCTTGAGTCCATCACCTGTAAAATGTGGACAATAATGCCTGCCCCGGGGAACAGTGAGGATTAAGTGAGATTGGTGTACAAATCTTGTTTTAAACCTGGAGGCGGATGGTACCTTGAGTATGGATGTTTTAAGATGGGATGGGCAGCCTTTTCTTTTCCAATACCCTTTCAGAGACCTCTTTGGAAGCAATAATGATGACTAAAACAAGGACTTGCTTTGCTTTGAGAGACTTTTCCATCCTCAGAACTTTTGACTTCTAGGCATCCATATGTGCCAGGCATGTGGACAACATAGGCAAAAAATTCTAATGTTTGTATTCAAGGAATACAAAAAATTCTAATGTTTGTATTCAAGAGTTTGTGTGTGTGTGCTGGTGGAAAGTAAATAGCTGTTTTGCCCAGTGAGAACAACAGGAAAAAGAAGAGTTTAGAGGAGATTGTGTTTGTGTTGGCCTGGTAGGAGTCTGCTAAGAGACCAAAAAAGGAAGACTTGAAAAGTCAGGAAATTAGCAAAGGTGAGAGCTTTATTTTGAATGGAGACATAGTGAGGTGTACTTAACCTGTTGGGGGAGTGGCACAGGGCAAGGCTCTGTTAGAAAGGAAAGATGGCAGGAGGCAAAAGGAATGATTTTGTGACGTTTCAGTTTATTCATAGAGGTGGTTTGAAGCCAATTGAGGTGCTCTAAGCAGGGGAATGACTTGATCAGTTCTATATTTCAAAATCATGAGTTGGGTGGCAGCATAAATCTTTCACAGAGAAAGACCAAGGGGAAAAAAAAAAACAAAACAGGGTACTTGATATAAGCTGTTGTAACTAAACCACCAAGAAGTGAAGAAAATAAATCAGAAACAAGGAATGCATAGGAGGGAGAGGATTGGATAATCTCACTTGAACCTCACAACATTCCTATTAAATTGGATGGTATTTATGCCCACTTTAAAGATGAAGAAACTGAGGCCTAAAGAGCTGAATAAAGGGAGGGCCACATATTCTAGTTCTGGCCTCCTGATGTTGCATCTAATGCTTCTCTAACAGTGTCACACTGAATTGTCTGTTATTTAACCCTTTGGTGGGTGGGAGTGGATTAGGATGGTGATCTGTCCTTCAACTACTGAGGCTTTATTCTTTTACAGGGAGAAAGAGAGAGCGCGAAAGAGAGAGGATGTCTCTCTCAGACTGGCATCTGGCAGTGAAGCTGGCTGACCAGCCACTTGCCCCAAAGTCTATTCTTCGGTTGCCAGAGACAGAACTTGGAGAATACTCACTAGGGGGCTATAGTATTTCATTTCTGAAGCAGCTTATTGCTGGCAAACTCCAGGAGTCTGTTCCAGACCCTGAGCTGATTGGTGAGTCTCTGTGGACTGGGCTTGAACTGCTGCTCTGATCTCTTATGTGGGGAGGATACTTACAGAATTACCAGAGTGAATTAAAGGCTTGGGATTTGTTGCCTCATAATGTTAACACTTCAGAGAAGTGAGTGTTAGGCGAGTCACAAATCATAATAGAACTCTTGCTTGCCATTTCAGTCATGTATTACATGGAACTGCTTCATCACAATTCCTAAACTATTATATTGTTGAGTTTTTTCTCTAAAAGGATAAAAATTTGGGGCAGGTCAAGGAATGAGTTGTTGATCTGGGGAGGCTCCTCAGTGTATCCCTTAAATCTTAAGAAATGATTAGAAAAATTGTTGTTTGGCTGGTTGATTAGAGGGAAGATGGAAAAATAAGGAAATGAAGACAAGGGCATTTCAAGTGGAGGAAGGAGGAGTTTAAGTATAATATAATTAAATTATGCTGTAAATGTATAATAGCTAAGGGTTTTAACTGGTGAGTAGGTATTTTCTGCCTCACCAGATTGGATTCATCCTTTTTTGTTTTTACATTTTCCCACTTTTAAATGGAGCAATTTCTACAATGTTAAATTCTAGAGTTCTTTTATGGTTGGATTCTGTATAGCTCCATCTTGTGGGTTTGTACTTGCTAACAATTGTTGTTTAAATTTCTTTCTTTTGTTTTTGGACTAGAGATTGAACCAGGGGTGTTCTACCACTGAGATACTTTTTACTTATTTTCAAGTTTTGAGACAGGATCTTACTAATTTGATAAGGCTGGCCTCAAACTTGGCAATCCTCCTACCTTAGCCTTTGGAGTCTCTGGAATTACAGGTGTGGGCCACCACACTTGGCTAAAATGTATTTCTTAAATAAGAGTATGTTTTAAAGTATGTATCATTCTCCAGCTTTCTGCCCAACCAAAATAAGGTTCTCAGGGGACAAAAATCATCTAAATTGTTTTGAGGAACAAAATAAATGGACAGGTTTTTTTGTTGTTTTTTTTTTAGATCTTATCTACTGTGGCCGGAAGCTAAAAGATGATCAGACCCTTGATTTCTATGGCATTCAGCCCGGGTCCACGGTTCATGTTCTGCGCAAATCCTGGCCTGAGCCTGATCAGAAACCAGGTGAGTGAGCGTTGGCCCTTAGTCAGACCAGCAGAGTTTCTATAATTTCTTCAAGGGAAGGGATTGTGTTTTCTTCAGGCATGGGCCTGGGTGGAACAAAGAGACAATGTCAATAGGAAATGACTTTATTACTTGATTGTATCACATTGATAAACAGTAAGTTGCCACTAATGGTAGGAGATTTATTTCTCTACTTTCTAAGTTCTTTACCTGATGTTTTCTAATGGACAGAGAATGTGTTTCCATTTAAAGTCTTTAGATTAATAGCTTATTTCTGAATGAACTTTGTTTCCTTTTATTATTGTTGCTGTTGTCATTAGGAAAAAGCTGGAAACTTCTTGCACTTCTCTAATGCTGTAGTTTGTTTTCTTGTGAGCAAATCATCCTGCCAACTGCATCAGGCAATGATTTGTTCAATCAGCTTACAACTCCTGATGTACTGGTAGTTTATTTTCCAGAAAATGTTCCAACAACATTAAAGTCACTCTTGGAGAAAATATACAAAGCCTTTAAAGCCTTTCTGATTTATTAATAGAAGGTGCTACTTGGAATTCATAATTTAAGTTTTATATTTGTGTTTTAAAAGTTTCATCTAGATAAAGGCAAGCTATATAAAAATTGTCAATTTGACATATTTTTATAATGTTCATGATTGTTGTCAGCTTGAAAATTTACCCTCTTTTCAGTTCTAAACATAAAGGTCAAAAAACATCTTCTTTTGTATTCTAATGGGAAGTGAGAAAGAAAAAAGAATCCCTTGACATCCAAGGGTTGACCTGGTACTCAAAAGTAGACCTTGGAGTCCTTTCATGGAACATGAACAAATGCACAAGTCACCAACTTTAGACAAGGACATTCTGAGGTCATCGTGGATCAAGACAAAAATAAGATCTTTATCATTTCTGAGCAGAGACCAAAATCTGTACATTGTCCAAACTGCAAAAGTGATCACATATCCTTCTATTCTGGCTAATGAGAATGACTGTTGCTTCTTTACCAGTAACTGCTGTATTTTTTCCTTCCTTCTTAAGAAGGATTATTAAAACATCCAATCATGCCAGGTATGGTGGCGCACGCCTGTAATACCAGCGCCTCAGGAGGCTGAGGTAGGAGGATCACAAGTTTAAAGCCAGCCTTAGCAATTTAGCAAGGCTCTAAGCAACTCAGTGAGACCTTGTCTCTAAATAAGATATGAAAAGGGCTAGAGATATGGCTCAGTGGTTAAACACTTCGGGGTTCAGTCCTGGTATTAAAAAAACCTAAAAACAACAACAAAAAATAAACCCAATCATGAAATTGTCCCCACTTCCCGATGGCTTCAAATTCAGAGCAAAATCCTACTTTTCCCAAACTTACCCAGCCAAAGCTTAAATCGTTTTTCCTCCTCCTGTACTGGGGTTGAACCTAGAGGTGCTTTGTCACTGAGCTTCATCCCAGCCCTTTTGATTTTTTATTGTAAGACAGGGTCTTACTAAGCTGCCAAGGCTGGCCTCAACCTGTAGTCTTGTCTCAGCCTCCCAAGTAGCTGGGGTTACAAGTGTGTGCCATTGCACCTGGCTTCAAAGCTTAAATCCTCTATGTCCTTTCTAATATCATCTTGTTGAGACACCTTATAGTTCCCTTTGGTTTGCATTCTCCTTTGTGTAGTGAGCAATAAACCCATCTTGTTCAAATGCAGGTGTTCTCCTGTGTTTGGGTGCTGTTCTTTTGCTAGAGGGCATTAACAAAAGAAAGGAATATTTATAGCTTCTGTGAGCTAGGTTTTTTTCCCCTTTGATATCTCACTTAATCATGACAGTGGCCCTGCAGGGTAGGTAACATTAATTAGCATTTTATAGATGAAGGAAAGGGGTTGGAAAGGTTACTTACTTAGAAATGAATGCAAGAGTCAGATGCAGTGACACATGCCTGTATCCCAGCTATTTGAGAAGCTAAGGTAGAAGGATTGCACACTTGAGGCTAGTCTCAACAACTTAGTAAGACCATTTATTTCAAAAAATAAAAAGGACTGGGGATGTAGCTCAGTGGTAAAGCACCTCTGGGCTCAATCCCCAGTACCAAAAAATAAAACAAAAAGCATAATGCAAGAGCTGATAGGGACCTAGGTTTTAGAGGTTCAAGAGACAAAGTGCTTTCCAATAGGCTAGCTACCTCCCACCCTTCAAAGGGTACAGAGATGCCCATTATTATTAGCTCATTGCTAGCTTAGAATACTTAGAATCCATTTCCTCCTAACTTCTGCCTGGAGATTTATTTTTTAAGCAAATGGACGTTTTATTGGGAGGCGAAAAGAAGCTTTTCAATCTGAAAAGAAATGGCTTTGTGGCAATACTTTAAATATAGTTTCTCCTCTGGCACTCTTCTTCCAAAGGAAGTACATTCTTCTCCCACTAGATGAGAGCTTATAGGATGAAAACTGGCCCGTCTCTCCCTTCCCACCTGGATCCCTTTGGTGTTTCTCTATGGTGTGTTATAAATTCTCAAGATTTTACTTTAGCCTGCTATTTGAGCAGGGATGTGTACCCTGAGCTCCAGACATAAAAAATGACTTGCTGTTCCTTCCGAACACCACATTCTTTTTCTTCCATATCTTTGCACATGTTCTCACTTAGGCTTGGAAGAGCTTCTTCCCTAAGTAAACATCTGCTCTACCTTAAGTGCCCCTCTCAGATCTTCCCTGGGAGGTGGCTGTGGATCCTGGTCCTGTCTCTCAGAGATGGCCAGTGCCCTTGCTTGCATTCACATATCTGCTGAGGCCATCAGTGTGGTATTTTATAATTGTGTGTTTGATCTAATCTCATTTCTCCTACTGCCCCAAGAATTCCTTTGTTTGTAAAGATTCTTATTTTTTGCTTCCTGTGACTTGCCCAAAGCCAGGCACAGGGTACATGCTCAGTATGTGTTTGTTAAATGAGTAAGTTAGGTAAAGTTGAGTATTTTTTGAGAGTTAGCCCTTGTTATTAGGGCTATAGGACATGACTGCTACACTGTATCCAGGAGTACAGTTCATTTTCCTTGGTAGTATGCCCCTGAAGTCAGATGATACAATCTATACAAACATATAAACACAAGTAGCAGTCCCTTGGTGAGGATTACCACACTTTAAAAAGTGTGACCCAGGATGAACTTCCTACCTACCTGGTCTCCTTGCTGTTACCCATATTTCTTTGAAATGGACTGAGGTCTTTTATGGTAAAGTAACCACAAGTAGCTGAGGTTATTACTAAACTTTCCCTTATGTATGAATTAGTGTCTAAAGATCAAAGAGGAGTTTGGGGCCTTGCTGTTGGGCATGTTATGGAAAGTTTTTAAGAGCCTTGGGAGCACAGTGTGTTTTCTTGGTCCTTCTTCTTTTTTTTTTTTTTTAGATTTAGATTTAGATTTTTTTTTTTTTTAGATTGAAAATAATATTACAGAAACATGAAAGAATACTAAGGAGAAAATAGTTACCCCTTGGACCTGTTACTTATCTAAGTGCTCTTATCCTCTTGTCCCCTCCAGCTTTGGACCACAGACACACTGACACTTTTTACATAGTTTTACTAGAAAGTACATATACAACTCTGTGTTCTATTTCTTTCTGTTAATATACTGTGTTAGAATAGCACTGTATTGTTAAGATGGTTTGCAGAGCACTTATTTAAATCCTTGCATAAAAGTCTACTGAGTTGATTTTACCTTCCTCCTTGTCAAATGTAAGAAGTCTAGAATTCCTATAGTTAGTTGTTGATCAGAACACCCTTTCATGTGGTAAGATTCCCTTGGCCTGAACTTGAATTTGTTTGTTTTATCTACTAAAACTACTTAAAGGAGAGTGCAGTTTTCACATCTGTGGCACAAATGGGTCTGAGTGGATTGTCACATTCTTACAGAGTGATGAGGGGAGGGAATGTGTGGACCAGGTTGCAAATGGCCATTTGCTGAAATGATGTTATTATGTCTGTGGCAAGGACATAACAAGGTTAACTGTGTCTTGTTCCCCAGAACCTGTGGACAAAGTGGCTGCCTTGAGGGAGTTCCGGGTTCTGCACACTGCTTTGCACAGCAGCTCCTCCTACAGGGAGGCGGTGAGTGTGAGCTGGGGCTGCAGGAAGAGGGTGTGAATGCTGGTGTTGATGGTGGAGAGTGGGAGCTGGGAGTCCCGTTGCCACAGCAACCAAGAGTTCCTCTGGGAGTTTTGCCTTGTCTGTGGGCCTCAGTAGAGCCCTATCTTTTCCCAGAGAGCCTGTCTTAGCTAGGTGTTAGTTGGTGTTGATTCCATCTAATGATAATGATATAACCTCTCTCATACTGGCCTCATGGAATGAGTATGGCAGTAGCCAAAGTATCTACACAGTTTTTGCTGGGCCTCATTCTTTGTCTTTGGCTGAACTGCGTGCCTACCACCCCTTAACATTGGTTTCCTCACTGGGGAATGGGCTGATGCTTTTCTGTAGGAAAGTTGACAGGAAAATTAATACAGCTGTGAACTTCCCAGTATATATGAATATGAAATAGTAATTGTATGGAGATTTTAAAAGGCTTTTGGGATCTAGAGAAACCTTTGTTATTGGGCTTGTAATGAGACCTTTCATTTTGCAAGTGTTAGAACTATGGTGGGGAAAAGAACCACAGAGATTGAGGTATACTTGCCTTTTTTTTTTTTTTTTCAATTCTTTGTTTCTTTTCCAGTAAGCCACAATCTCAGAGCAAAACGAGGCTCATTTATTTCCGGGGGTATTGTTTCGTTGTGATGGTGTATGTGCAAACATGTAGAGGGAGGAAGTCTTTGAGCAGAGTGTGGGCATTTGATGAATGTTTGAAACTAGTTGAAATGCTTAGTCCTCCCTGTTTCTCCTGCAGGTCTTTAAGATGCTCAGCAACAAAGAGTCTTTGGATCAAATCATTGTGGCCACCCCAGGCCTCAGCAGTGACCCCATTGCTTTGGGTAAGTTCAGGAAAGGATTTGAGGAAATAAGAGTTGTTGGAAAAGGAAAAACCAGGAGAAGGCCATAACCCTAAAGTGATTCTCACCATTTTCTAAAGAATCACTGGTCTTGCGGGAAGAGGAAAGTGATCAAGATGTGTTTTACGTACTTATCCCCTAAGAGTTCTCAGTCCTCCAGAGTGATAATGGTCTAAATAGCATAATAAATGAGGGTGTGAGCATGCCAAATGAGGGCTACATTTAGCCTGAATCACTTCAATCACTGAAGGGAAGACTTCCTATACAACTTGATGGATGAGGGAACCCAAAGATACAGAGGAGGAAGACTGGTGTGTTAATGCTCAGTGTTTGAAGCACAGTGGGGAGGTTCAGGGCAGGGGAACATCCCCACTGGAAGAGGAAGGAGTGTACTTGGATTGTGTTGCTTGGGGTGTTTCCTCCTCTTCTCATTAGGGCAGGTCCTATGTTCCTGTTGAACTAATTGTTCTGAGACTAGTGCCTCTTCACCATCCTGGATCTGACCAGATTTCCATTCTCTGAAGGGGGTTGTGTTCTCTTTTAGGAGTTCTCCAGGACAAGGACCTCTTTTCTGTTTTTGCTGATCCTAACATGCTGGATACGTAAGTGTAATCATTGTATTAGAGGGAATCATGTCTGTTCTCATGTGGTTAGGCCAGAAACCTAATTGTTGCCCTGGATTGTGCTCTTGGAGCCCATCCTCAGCCTGTCACTGGATCCACCTTCTGAATATGTTAGGAGGTGAGAAGGAGCAAAGGCTGTTTGGGAATGGTAAAGCTTAAAGTCAGGGACATGTGAGGAGTGTCAGGATGAAGCAAAATTATGTGGGACAGGGCTTTGTGTGCCTGGGTCAGTTTAGATTTTGTTTGGTAGATGTTAGAGAGTCCCTGAAGGATTTAAGCTCTCTCTAAAATATTAGAGCTAGAAGGGACAGAAAAGGCCACATCCCCTTGTTTTGCCAGTGGAAACAACCCTACCCAGAGACCGAGAAGGAAGCTGTCAAAGGTGCCCAGTATAGTAAGAATGTTGTCTAGGACCAGAACCTGAGCCCACCAGCCTATGTATTTCCCATCATGCTTTGTCTGAGATGAAAGTGATGGATTTGCAATAGATTCCAGAAACTGAAGGCCTTGCTTCATTGCTGAGGGCGGATCAGCTTCTTAGCATAAGATGCTGAAGGCAGGGCAGGAAAGGCATCTCTGTCATAGTGAGGGGGTACCCAGAACTGTCATGGTTGAGGATGTCTTTTTCCTTCTTGGTCACCCTTGGGTTTTTCTTGTCCCGTCTTAGATTGGTACCTGCTCACCCAGCCCTGGTCAATGCCATCATCCTGGTTCTGCACTCAGTAGCAGGTAGTACCCCAATGCCAGGAGCTGACTCCTCTTCCCGAAGCATGCCCTCCAGCTCGTACAGAGATATGCCAGGTAAGCTCCAGAAGAGAGTACTGTAGGCCCTTCAGGAGCCGGTAATGGCCCAAGGATTTGCTTTCCTCAGCAGCTATGTATAGTGTTGGCAGAGGGCGTTCCTTGGGAACTCTCAGTTTGAGTCAGGAAGTGCATCTGTCCTGTAATTTTCCAAGGGGAGATGAAATATGAATTTGGAGTAACTTGAGCTGAGATCTGGAGATACGCCTGTGCCTTTCTGTTCTTCCTCCTGAAATCTGTTCACTCTCTTCCAGGTGGCTTCCTGTTTGAAGGGCTCTCAGATGATGAGGATGACTTTCACCCAGTAAGTGGCCCGACTGCCTGCTGCTTAGGGGAGATGGTGCTAGGAATGAGCCCCTCCTTGGGACTTGGCACTCCCAAGGCTGAGAAGTGGTCATAGGTAGACCCTTTGTGGGGCCAAGACTTTGTCATACTGTTCCTTTTCTGTATTCTTTTTGGGATCTGGGAGCTTAGGCAGTCTTCCCAGGAACTGTTTCTGGAGTGGAGAGAGGTTCCTTTGGGGATTTCAGTGTCTTTCCTGATTCTGGATCCTCCCTTCTCCAGAGCACCCGATCTACACCCTCTAGCAGCACATCCAGCTCTCGACCAGCCTCCCTGGGATACAGTGGAGCTGCTGGACCCCGTCCCATCACCCAGAGTGAACTGGCCACTGCCCTGGCCCTGGCCAGCACGCCAGAAAGCAGCTCTCACACACCAACTCCTGGCACCCAGGTATGGAGAGAGGACTTGGAATATCAAGGCCGTGCCCCCAAGGGAGAAGCTCCCCAGTGATAGAATAGGATTTGCCTTTGCTGACCCTGGTGCTAGATCTGGTTTGAGCTATACCCTGAAGCCCCTGGTGGGATTTCTTGGTACAGTTCAGGTGACTTTCCCCTCATTTGCCTTAGGGCTAAGAGGTTTGACATAGGCCTGGCTGATTCCTCCTAGTATTCAGAAGAATCTCCCCTCATGTAATATGCCCTTCCTCATCCCTGACTGGGACTAGGTATCACCAACTTAAGCATTCCTGGTGATGAGTTACTCCAGCTTCCAAGGCCTTCTCTCAGAACTGGAGTCTTAGACTGGCTTGTGGGCTTAAAGTCCGTTTTCATGGAGTGGAAGAAAATGGAACTTTTTTTGCCCACATAAATAGCTTCATGTGGTTATCTCGTAGCAGATCCCTGTTGGAAGGTAGTAGTTGGGTACCCAAGAAGCATATGGGGTGATATGATAATTGTAGATATCTGTAGCGAGTTGAGATAGTTCTTGAGGTGACTCTGATTGATTTGTCTCTAGGGCCATTCATCAGGGACCTCACCAATGTCTTCTGGTGTCCAGTCAGGAACGCCCATCACCAATGATCTCTTCAGTCAAGCCCTCCAGCATGCCCTGCAGGCCTCTGGGCAGCCCAGCCTTCAGGTCAGTCTTCCCCATTTCCTGACTTCCATGTGACCCTCTTGTTGCTTTAGAAGCCAATCCTTTTTCTGTGCTGTGGAGTCCTTCTCATTTGGCATGCTTCGTTCTAGGTATGGGCATGGCGTGTGACAGGTGAGGAGTGTTCTTACCAAGAACAGTTGTCCCTGTGGCTTCTACTCCTGCTCCCAGTGACCATGACCTGACTCCCCTGACTGCCTGGCTTGTATAATCATGTCAGTTTTAGTCAGGAAGTCATTCATTCATTCAGTGAGCATGAGCTGATCATTGAGCATATGTAATATGAGGTCTGGCTCCAGATGCAGGGGCATTGGGAAAACTGGTTCTCATCCCTGCCATAATGGGGCACCAGGCAGGTTTGGAACTAGGGAGCAATAAGGTGAGAAACCCAGCTTCTTGAAGTGAGGGCTTAGTTAGGCAAAGTTTTTCTTAGGAAGGGGTATTTAAGCTGATTGTCAAAGAATTAACAGGTTTTATTTTTTGTTTTGTTTTTTGCGGGGGGAGGGTACTGGGGATTAAACCCAGGGGCACTTAACAACTGAGCCACATCCCCAGCCTTTTTTCATATTTTCTATGGAGACAGGGTCTCACTGAGTTGCTTAGGGCTCCAATAAATTGCTGAGCCTACCTTTGAACTTGAGATTCTCCTGTCTCCCAAGCTGCTGGGATTATAGACATGCACCACCACAGCCAGCAAGAATTAGCAGTTAACCAAATAGGGAAAAGAGATGTTTGTGGTAGGAAAGGAATAGTTTCCAGGTGGAGGCAACTCCCTGTTTGAGCAAATGTGTGGAGGCATATATTATATACTTAAAACTACAAGGCTCCAGGGGCTAGGGTTGTGGCTCAGTGGTAGAGTGCTCACCTAGCATATACGAGGCCCTGAGTTCGATCCTCAGCACCACATAAAAATAAATAAAAGTTATTGTGTCAACTACAACTAAAAAATATTAAAAAAAACCCAAAAACCCACAAACAAAACTTCAAGGTACAGTGCAGCATCCCAGTGTAAAAAGTTCTGAGATGGAGCTGAGAAAGGGAGCCTGGGTATGCTGGGTGTGAGGGCCCTTAAATGCCAACTTAAGGAGGGAGACTTGGCAGGTTTGAAGAAGAGGAAGGGTCACCCTGGCAGCTAAGTGGAAAACCCAAGGCCTCAGCATTTTATCACATGCCTCCACACGTGAGCTGTTAGCTTTACGTCTGCTTCCTTTATTCCTTACAGTAAGCCTCTTCAGGGAGTATCATTCCTAGAACTTGTCTAGATCCCAAAGCCATGAAATGGTAAAGACAGAGTTCAGACCCATGTGGTTTTCACTACCCCACTGGCCCTTAGGGACAATGAGGGTAATAGGCACAGGACATGAGGACAACTTCTCCATGCTTTCATCTTCCCCTGTTAGATGCCTGTTCACTTGGCTCTGCAGCTCTGCACTTGCCTTGGTTCCATCTGACCTATCAAATGCCTCCATGTTGATGTGGGCTTTTTTTTTTTTTTTTGGTACTGAGTATTGAACCTAGGGGCACTTAACCACTGAGCCACATCTCCCTGCCCTTTTTATTTTTTGATATAGGGTCTCACTAAGTTGCTTAGGTCCTTGCTGAGTTGCTAAGGCTGACCTTGAACTTAGACTCCTCCTGCATCAGTCCCCTGAGTTGATGTGTGCTTCACAGTCTCACCCCTGCCTGGCTCTTTGCATTTGCCTTTCTTCCCCACTGCCTTCTTCCTGCATGTGTACACACAGTTTTCCCTACATTGCATACTTCTTCCTATCATGAAGTAGGGATATTGATGACACTATGAAAATACTAGAATAAAATGTGAGTGTATTTCTTTAAATCCTTATAGTAGATAAGGTCCTTTCATGGCTGAAACTAAGAATCCAGGAGCCATTAAATAAGAGTTATAAGCCAGGCATGGTGGTGCATGCCTGTAATCCTAACAGCTTGGAAGGCTGAGGCAGGAAGATTCCAAGTTTGAGGCCAGCCTCAGCAATTTAGCAAGGCCCTAAGCAACTTAGTGAAATTCTATCTCAAAATAAAAAATAAAAAGGCCTTGGTATGTTGTTCAGTGGTTAAGTGCCCTTGGGTTCAATCCCCAGTACCGCCCCCCCCCAAAAAAAAAGAGTTATAAATTTTGAGTTTATAACTCAAAATTTGAGTTCTGCCTGCAAATCAAACCCAAATAACAATAAAAACTAAACAAAGGCTAACTAAACTGAGGGGGAAAGTCTAACGTATCACACAGAGGATGAAATCTTCCTGATGTATAGAGGTTCTAGAAATTAAGACAAATAACTCCATAGAAAAATAGGCAAAGGGACTGATGTAACTCAGTGGTAGAGTATTTGCCTAGCATGCACAGGTCCTGGGTTTGATCCCCAGCTTCACAAAGTGGTGGCAAAGAATATGAACAGACTATTCACTGGAAAGGAAGTACAGATAGCTATTAAACCCATATAATAATTCCAGCAACCCCTTTTCTCAGAATTTGTTCTGGAGGTTTATGTGCCTGTAGAAAATGACAGTTGTAGAGTCAGTCACTGCAGCTTTTGTGATAGCAAAAGATTGGAAACAGTCCATTTTTTGTGTTTTAAGGACACACATGTGTTAGAATATTGTGTGAGTATTAAAAAGTTCTTTTATGTACCAATATGGAAACATCTCCAGGACAGATTAATTACATTAAAAGCCAGCTCAGGTTATTTAGTGAGATCCTGTTTCAAAGATTATTTTTTTTTAAAAGGGCTGGGGATGTAGCTCAATGGTAGAGTGCTTGCCTAGGAATATACATTTATATTCCTTGAAAGAAATAAAATAGGTTACTTGGGGTAAGAGTTGGACTAGATAAGAGTAAGACTTTTCACTACACTATTATGCTAAAAAACAAAACTAGTTTTATTCCTCTCCCATTTATTTGTGTGTGTGTATGCACACATGCACACAAGAGAAAGAATTGAGACAGTAATTTGCATTTTCTCTTTTGACCCTTTCTTACTGTAAAACTTTGAATTTGTGTTCTTAACCCTCAAGCCTTTTAATGTTCCTGAAGTCCCCATTCCATGGAACTTAGTATACCACCTTTGCCCTAGGAGTCCCATCTTTTTTTCTTTTCCCTGAAAGTATAGACCTAATTGCATCTTCATTAGGGTCCCAGTTAACAGCTTCTGTCTACCCTGCCTTTCCACAGAGTCAGTGGCAGCCCCAGTTGCAGCAGCTGCGTGACATGGGCATCCAGGATGACGAGCTGAGCCTGCGGGCCCTTCAGGCTACTGGTGGGGACATCCAAGCAGCCCTGGAACTCATCTTTGCTGGAGGAGCCCCATGAACTCCCTGCTCCTTCTGAACCCCCAGCAAGTTACAGAGGCTGCTGATGATGATGGGAGACACTTGTGAAGATGTCTCCATTTCTCTTCTCCCCAATATACCTGATGGTCATCAACTCTCCTGCTTTGTCCAGTGTTTGGCCTTTCTGGCTGATCTGAGCTGGTAGAGGCAGGGGGGCAAGCAGAGTGTGCGGTCTTGGTGCTGTGGCATCAGGGAGCAGGGTTGGCCCCTGGTTCTGGGCCCCAAATAGAGGATTTTAGATCCACATCATGGAATGCTGTGTAATACCTTTGTTCACCTTTGGGATTGGTAGCAGTAGCCCCCAGACTCTTTGGTGCTTTGGGGTATGACAGCCTTAGGTTGTACCCAAGGCTGGAGCAGGGCTATGCCAGTATTCAGGTGATTGTTATGTGACAGTTATAGCCAGAAGAGGCTCATGCTTCTGAGATATCCACAGTCTAGGGAGTAGCCAGTGGGTTTTCAGAGGGAGCAAGTGGGTGGCTTGCCTTCCACATTACTGCTTCTCCCAAAGCCTTTCAAAAAATTCCTTGTCTCTGCCTTGGTCTTGCCTTACCAAACATTTTCTGATGCATTTTCTTTTTTTTTTTCTTTTAATGATGCCAGAATCCAGGCCTCAAAGCTGAGCCAGAATTCAGGGTTCTCTCCTCTGTCCTAAAGGTATAAGTACAAGAGCAGTTGAATAAGGATACTAAATAACAAGACCAACACTAACAGGGCTAAATTTTAATATTAAAGAGAGGGCACCAACCCCCCCAGCTGCTGCTCCATCTGCAGGTCCTCTGGTTCCCTTGGCACTGCATTCCCTGCTTCCTATAGCGTCAGAGGTGTTCAGGTTGAGAAAGTGGGTTTTATATGCTTCAGGTACTTTGTTAGCAAAAAAATCCTTTGCCTTCATTGGCATTTGAGTTCATTTGAGAGCTCATCTGGGTGGAAAAATGCTCAGAGCTCTGTTCCTGCCCCAGACCTTGGCAGGTGTACAATCTTCACCATCCCCAGTCATGGCTGTTTGGCCTCTTCTTGTTTCTTCCTGGGACAAAAGTCTTAAATTTTTAAGGATAGCCTATTCATTCTTTAATGTTCCCCAGAGAATTTACCCCAAGGCCCCTTTCTGCCCTAAGGAACCATGTAGAACTGTTCCCTCTTTGCATTAGCAGAATTTTAGTTACTTAAAGAGTGTAACACTTATCCCTTTGACCTGTCCTTGTTTTGGTCCCCTGATCTTTTCTCTGGGTGTCCTCCAGTTCATCAGTTATTCTTACAGGAAGCACTCAGAAGAACCCACTATTCCATATATGTCCCAAACAGCCCATTGTTCTTTGTCTCCTACAGACATTTTGAAAAGTCTTTCCGCATTCCTTCACAACCCTAGGATTAATGTTGAAAAGTGTTTGCATTGGCATAAAGACTCGATTTCTGGGCCTCTACTGCCAGGCCTCTCTGGGCCTCAGTGGTCTGCCTGAAACCCAACTGTCTCATGGTTGAGAGCAAAGACCAGGAAGCTTTGTCTTTGAACCCAAGGTCTCTTGCTTATTTGTGGTGGAAACAGTCTGGTTCTATTCTCTTGTGGTAGTCGAATGGGGCTGACATAGCCCTTCCTGTTCCCATGATACAGCTTGCTCTAGATCTGGTTTCCATTTTGTGGCAACTCTCACCCTGACTCTAATGCCCTTCAAAGATATTGGGGCTCCTTAGCTTCCCAACCCCCTTATGCTGTGGAGTATTTGGGTAAGCCTGCCCAATTGCCGGAACCACCCAGTACCAGTTACACAGCTTCCCAGAATTGAACTGAACCCACTGTTTCCCTTTCCCTTCTTTGTCAGCTCTTTCCTCCAGGGCCTTGGCAGGTTGGGTTCACTTCCTGTGGCCAAGTTTTAAGTAATATATGTTGGGTCTGATAAGTGCCCCCACTGAGCCTGGGGCTTTCCAGAGCCAAAGACTCCTTCCTCACCATTGTCTCTTTCAACCTTTCAACAAACATTAAGCTTCTGTGCCAGGTAAACATGGTGTCCTTGCTCTCATAGAGCTGTGTCATTGGTAAGACAGACAACACGTTTACACTACAGCCTGATAAGAACTGGACCAGGCAAGTCCAAGGCCTGTGGAAGTTTCTGGGAAAGGGAGCTCACTTATTTGTGTGTGAGAATGAGTGAAGCTGGTTAGAAAAGTATAATCCAAGATGAGATCTGAAGGGTGTGGAGGAATTGGGCAGGGAAGTGTATGTGCTTAGCAGCCTGGTAGTTGGGAGAGAATATGGCTCTTCAATCCCTGTCAGGGTGGATATGAAGATGGGTCATGTAAGGAGTTTTGGCTTACCCTGAGGACAGTGTAGAGTTAGAATTTTAATCATGAGAGTCAGATTTGGTTTTTAGAAAGGTCAGTCTGGCTGCGGGAGGTAAAAGGGGGGGGGGGGGGATGGAGACAGGTTGGAGAGAGGGAGCCCAGCAAGGAAGATGAGGCAGTGATCTGCTTAGAACTGAGGGCTGGCCTAGCAGCGTGCAATGAAGGAGAAGGGTGAAACAGGCCTGAGGGGTTAGAATTGATATCAGTCTTTGGAAGAGGTGAATATAACCTATTGTCATCTCCATAGAACAGATGGGGATACCAAAATCAGATGGGAAGATCATCTGTCCATGATCTCATGGTTAGAAAGTGTGCAATTATGGCTAACTATTGACCAAAGTAGGGAGGACTACATGATAAGGGCTTAGATCAGCCTGGGGAGCTCTGGCTTTATCCAGAGAAGAGTAAAGAGCACCCCTGGAATGGCTTTGGGTAGGACAATTGGGGATCAGATTTGTATGTAAGATAGTCTGACAGCTGCATGGAGGGTGCATTTGTGGGAAGTGAGAATGGGGGTGGGTGTCCAGCTAGGATGTTTGCTGTCTCCAGATGGGACATGGTGGAGGCCTTCACTTAAGCTTACAGCAGGGGAGCTGGGTGGAGGGATATGAAGTGTGAAGGACAGACTAGATTTGAGGGTGAGAAAGAGGGAGGAGGCAGAATGCGAGTGAGTAGGTGGTGGTACAGCAGGAATAAGAAATTGGGGGTTAGGATTTAGAATGCAGGACCAGTTTTGGACATGTTGAGCTTAAAGTACCAACCAGGCAGAGATATCCAGTAGACAGTTGGATGTACCTGGCCTTAAAGAGTGATCAGGAGGTTTTAAGTTCAAGACTGGATTTTCATCATGTGAGAAGGTAATTCAACTTTTTAGGGAAAGGTGGAGGACAAAGAATAGCTGCTAAGAAGCTTGACTTTATAGGAAATGATAAGTGGTTGGTAAGAAACCTGGAAGGGAGTTGGGATCTGCTACTTCTGGGAAGGCTAGAGCAGGACTCACCAAAGCAGAGGAAGTTGAAGGAACTGGACAAAGGGCATGGTCCTCACTGTAGCCAAAAGGCTGACCTTGGACTTACCAACTTATTCCATGGTGACCTTGAGGAGATGACACAGTAGACCAGAGCCAGATTGGAGGGTTGAGGACTGGATACACTGGGGGGGCAGTAGAGGCAAAGGGCAGAGAAATCTGGAGGATCTTGTTGGTTAGGGACAGGGCCATAGCTGAAGGGGGAGATGGGATTGAGTAAGCATTGCAGTTCAACAGAGGTGAAGTTGGAATTGATCGCAAGAACTTTTATAGGAAGCTGAGGGGAAAAAAAAGGAAGAGAGACCCCAAAATAGAATATGCAAATATGCAGAGATGGGTAAATTTTCTGAACAGATCCCTTCTCCTGATATAACTCAAATTTGGCTGGGCTGACATGGGCTGGGCTGGCACAGCTTGCTGGGCACATGGGCCCAGGTTCTGCTCCTCGCCTTAGCCCCATCTGGCCTGGGCCACAAACCAAGCAATCTCAGATTCCTACCCTGAGGTGGCTTCTGGTTTCCTCTGCCCCAGGCCTTGGCAGTGAACTGTTAGTGAGGATGTTAGGAATTCATTCAGGCCTCCCTCTGCTTCCCCAGACTTTACCAACATTTTGGACCCCCTCTGGCCCTGGGCCAGGGTTCAGTTCAGCTCAGCTGTGCCCCTGGTTCCCTTGGGCCCTGCCCAGTCTTATTCCCATAGGCCCTGCAGTTACTGGTGACAACTCAGCTTCCTCCATGCTTGAAATGGCTTTGCAGTACCCTGGGCACTTGCCTCCCCTACCTTGGCAAAACTAGCTAACAGCAATGCAGTACAATAGTGCTCATTTATCACACATCCTTTGCGCCACGCATTGAAATAGGCACTTACATGTGCCATCTCAGTTGATCCTCATAACCACCTTCAAAAGGATATGTTATTACACCCCTGTGCAGATGAGTGCTTTTTGTTAGAAGATGTCACTGACGGGAAATGTCTTTCCAGGGTTTTGATGAGTGTGTCAGCCATGATTTCATCAAGGTATCCACCTGGGGCCTTGTGCTTGTCTGGCAGGCCAGAAAGTCACTCAGAGGGCTGAAGGGTCTGCTCACCATTCATTCTGAAGTGGCAGCTCAGATCTTGGAAGGGAATTAGGCTTCTTAGAATGACTAAACTTCAGGTCACTTTTCCACAGATTGACTTGACTTCTTGGATCCTCTGAACCTGAGTTTTGTCCTATTTGACATTTCCCCTCAATTTATGTAAGTGAATATTGACCCTGTGTACATCAGAGATGCCAAGTGCTCAGAACTGGGCTGGGGAATATTCTAGGTGGAATCAGGATCCAGACAGCAAGGCAACCCTAACTAGAGAGACAGCAGCAGGGAAAGTTCAGAAAAATTGCTTTTATGCAAGAAGGGGTCTCATTTCTTCTTCTGGGTTCAGATTCAAACTCAGAATCTTTAACTCAGCATCCTAGAAAATTGGAGAATTGGACCAAAGATGACCCTAGGTTTACAGGAACAGGAGTTAGCACCATGGTGTCTAAACCTAATCAGACAGAGGCTTCCTAGGTGCTGGAATCTGGAGTAAGAAGTCTGCCTTTTCAGCCTCTGTCATAGGTGTTGTGTATGACCTTAGGCCTGATTTTTGGAAGGAAAGGACACAAACTGGACTGCTTAGTGGCAATTTGTTAAATGACTAATCATGTCCTAGGAATCAACCAGGATTAGAGAGACTCCCAAGGAAAGTCCCATGAGAGACTTATTTGGAAGTGGGGTTATATACCCTGAAAAAGCAGATTTAAAAGGATATGACTTCTAAATCCTCAAAGGGCTGTATGCCAGAAAGAGGGATTAGACATTGTGTAGTTTTATTGGGCAGAGTTAGGACCACTGTTTGG